GGCGACCAGGGACACCCGAGCAAAGCCGCCGCCTGGGCGGCTTTGCTCGTGGGCAAACGAGCAAAGCCGCCCAGGCAGCGGGACTCCCGCCGCCTGGGCAGCTTTGCTCGGGTGTCCCTGGTGTGCTGGGGGGGTCCAGCGGCTTTGCTGGACCCCCCTCCCAGCAGACCAGGGAGACCGGGAGAAGCTTTTCTCGCCCCGGAGGACACGGGTGGCGACCCGCTGCCCGTGAGCTCCGGAGCGAGAAAAGCCCCGTTTGTAAGTGCGGATCCGACATAAGTCGGATCCGCGTAAGTCGGGGACTGCCTGTATTGTCGTCTCAAGAACGACTACTGCTGAATACATGAAAATCTTGGAATGGCAAGGCAATCTCCCCTCCCCCACCTCCAAAAAAACCCCAAGTAAAAAAACCCAAATGTTTTTGCCAGATAAAATGTATTTTTCTGGATCTCCTCTCTTCTGCTGTTCATCATGCCACAAAGGAATAGAGTTGTATAATCCAAATCAATTAAAAAACCACAAGTAAAGTGTTCTTGAAAATGAGATTCCCACAAAGTTTGGGATAGAGAAGTGAGTTTCCTTTGATTTTAAGGAAGCATTTAAATCTACTAGAACACTTCCATTTCAGTGGAGCGGAACAACCAGAAGAGCCAAAGTGGTTCACGCAGAGACCTACGTGACTGACACACTCTGCTCTAGTCTTCCAGAAATTCAGGGCAGGAAGTGATGGCTTGCCGCTTTGCCAAGGAGACCACTCACTGCTCTACCCTTAACAAGCAAGCACTCTTTAGTCAGCTTTATTATTTAACCAGAAGATTAAATACCAACGCCTCACATTCAAAGCTTCCATCCCACACTCTGTACAGCAGATTAACAAGGAATTTCATCATACAGAGCTGATTATGCCTCAGCTGCAGTATTTGGCTTTAAAATACAGTTAAACGTAACAGACAAATTCAAAATCCTGACAGATCCTCACCCAGCTCAGTTCAATGCATAGGAGTTTTGACAGACTACGCTTCGGGGTGAAAAAAGGTATTTTCATAGCAATAGCAGTTTACTATGAAATATTCAAAATGAAGTCACGTGTGTCTATTTCCATTCCCATTACATCGGATTACCAAAATGTGCGTAAACAGACTCTTTAAGTCTTCCAGTTGGATGAATCTCATGCCGTCTTCACAGAGTGCATCTGCTTTGAAGCCACTTTGGTCACCAATACTGAATGAATCAAGCAATGGGTTACCTTATTTCTACAGCACCTCACATCCCCAACACACTCCACACGCACAAATTAACACCAAAATAAAGCTCTCCTTTCTCTTTGTGGTGAAGAGTGGCAGAGGTGGGTGATCTATGCCAAAACACAAATCGGACATCTGGTACATTCTTTCATAAATGGTATAGAATATGAAAAGTGTGCAAAGACTAATTAGTAGCTAACTGAGGAAAGAGGGAATTAATTTCTCCACTTAACTGACAAGCTCAAAGCATAGACAAGTGGGTCCCTTAGAAAACACCATGATGTTGCAGTTCTGTTTTCCCAACAAAAAACTGCAAATCTAGTGGACATTTCACTGTGAATATCCAAGCAAGCAACTATTGTTCAGGGCAGCATTACTCTGATTTGCCATCTGTTTCAATATGCCAGGCATTTTCACCTGTCCACGCAGATGGAGCTTTCACAAAGTCATTTAAAAATACATATGGACTGAATGATGAAAAGATGCTGAAACAATC